TTTGACACTGGTGGAACAATTCCTGCTTACGACATCGTGCAGAGTTCTGGTCGTCAGTTACAGTGGATTCAGCATGAAAGCGGCACAGATCAGAGACCAACTACCGGGCGATGCAAGCGGTCTATACATGTTCAAGAATGGGGCTGTTGCACCCAAGGGGGTTAAATGGCTGCTACGATAACCCCCAAACCCCACCCCGCACACCTAAATCCTAATGTCTTCCACGACATGATTCTCGTATCTCTCTCTGAAAGCGGTCAATATTGACTCTACGATAAACACTTTTCAAAACAATATGTGAAATACGTAATAGTTATTTATTGACAATGTCAGATGACTATGGTAGTATAGCTAATAAATTTTTTTTTTTTTTTAACGTTTTTCTAGGCTGTACTAGTAATAACACTAACAAGTCCTTTAGCACAAGATAAAATAATATATAACTTGTTCAGTAATATAGTGCAGACCACTTAATGCTATCTGGATTATTTCTTGGGTTCCAGGTGAGTTCTCCTTATCAGGTCTCCCCTGAATAAGGTTTAACGCACAAGTTCGCAAACTATGGGTCGCCAACATATTTAGGGTCGCTAAGGGTTTTCTATAGAAATCCTCTGGCAGTGGTGAGCAATGACTATTTGATACTGCTCACAAAAGTCACTTTATCTCCTTCGGCTGGGAGGTTTCATAGCGGTTCCACTGGGCTATCCCATGTTCTAGGGGTGGTCGTTTTGAACGTTTCAAAGACATCGACCAGCGACGAGAGCCACCGCGAACGAGAATAAAAATACACAAACAACAATGATTCGATACTCACGAAATGTCGCGCCTTCGTCGCTTTTTCCTGCAGTACTTCTTTTTGGCACACAGACATCGTCGGCATCTAAATGACCTTCATGTAGTCTGTTAAGAACTGTAGGACTGGACACATGCAGGCCAGATGCTAACAGGACATCAGTTTGTAGCTGTCCAGTAGTGCTTTTTCAATTGCGACGTGCTAGCATTTGTAGACGGCGGCATTCGTTTGGCTTTGTGAGGCGATGTCGACCTTGCCCACTGGAATAGTGGCATGTATGTTCGTAACGTAACCACAGTAGACTTCTTCTTCTTCTCTGCGTTCACCAGCTGTAAACTCTGGTGGAAAGTTTTGGTTGTTCGAGAACCTGAGTGCTGCGTGTGCATCCGCTAGAAAGATCTGACACATTTGTGCGCAGACTGTTGGTTCCTTACCTCTCAGGCAGATACACTCAAACTTTGAAGGGAGCTCCCAATTAGTCGACTTTTACGACATGCTTTTGGGTAAGCAGTGGGTCTGTTCTTATTTTCCCTGTAATAGGGCCCCGGAAACCACACGGGGGACAATAGACTAATGGCCCATTGAGATATGTTCAGTCTTTCTACTACATCTCCTGTCCACTCTGATAACTTTCTACTGCACTTGCCATGTCAGTTTCTGACTTATCCTTGACATGATTGATACATTTGACTTTTGAATTATTTTAATGCAGTTTTGTAACGGGAGGTAATCTCGAAAAAACTCCAGTGACAGGGTTTTCTAGTTCCGGTGTTTTCACCTCTAGTTGTAAAACTAAAATATTTGCCATCTTTGTATTACTTACACGTACACAATTGTTAGTGATGCGTGTTTTCTGTGCATAAAGACAGGTCACGCTTGAATTGGATCAGTCTTGCTCCGTGCAAAGCACACATTTTATGACTTTGGAGGTTGTTTTGAAATCAGTGATCAAACAAGTGAACTTAAATATTTTTTTCCAGCTTTATGTATATACACTAATGTTTATGTTTTTTTTCTCCGATGGATCAACATCTTGGCACACCAGTATATCCCATAAGTGCTCCGTTCTACATTTAACTCAAGAAGAATCTCAGCGCAGTTCATGAACTCCGTTGCACGGGCGAGGATCCTGATATAGTTTTAGTAGACTGTTGTTGGTATTAACTCTCTGAGTCCCCAGGAACGCATCATACGTTCATAGGTTACTGTCTAGAAGCCCAATGAACGCACGATGCGCCGATTTTACGTCTTTCTTGATTACCCTTTGGGTCTGTGATGCTAAACCCTCTGGGACTCAAAGAGTTAATGAAAGCTCAACGGGAAATATGTAAACTTGTTAATAAATTACGATTGAAATCATCCCAATAAATATGTCACAGGTGAACATTATTTTGAATTATGCAAGGTCCTAAAATTAAGTAATGAGACTGATTTTATTATGGCCTAGACAAAAATGTCATATATGAAGCAAAACATGGAATCCAAAGAGGTAACCTTCCTCTATGATTCGGCAACTGCATCGCAGCCTGATAAACAGACGACAAACAAACCGCCATTCTTTTGAAGTAGTTAGATGTGCATTGTTACGATTTCAGCATGAAGCAAAAAGCTAACATTAAATTATGTTTAAAAAAAAATTGCCATTGAGACAGTTGAATTGATGCGACAAGTTTATAGGGATAATTGTTTATCTCGTGCACAGATTTTCAAGTGGTATTCACGATTCAAAAGTGGCGTAGAAATGATTACTAATGCACCTAGAACTGGAAGCCCAGTTTGTGTACGTAATGGGAAATGATACAAGAAGATCGTTGTTTGACTGTGAGGATGATGGCGGATTAATTTGATGTTAATGGAAAGGCCATTCGTAAAATTGTAGTGGAAGATTTGGGCAAGAAAAAAGTTGCTTGCCAGTTTGTACCACATTCCTTGTCTGATGAACAAAAACATCAGCGTGTTGAGTAGGCACAAGACATCATCAAAACGTGTCACAGAAATAGAGATTTCTTAAATTTGATTGTTGTAGTTGGAGAAAAAAGGGATGTTACGCCTTGACCCCACAACTAAAGTGCTCAGTGAAAGTCATAATCGTCACCCAAAAAAAGGCGAGGGGGGGGGGGGGGATGCGTCTTCAAAAGTCGAATGTGAAGACAATTTTGGTGTGCTTCTACGACAGCACAGGAGTTTTCACAAAGAATTTATTTCAGAGGGACAGACTGTCACTGCCACAGTTTATTTAAGTATTTTGAAACGTCTATTGAAAAAGATTCTCAGAGTCTGACATTAATATGCATCACCTGTCAGTTTTTTGCTTTTTCGTGAAAATGCATCGGCTCCCCGGGCAGTAGCTATAAAGGAATTTTTGGCCAAAAAACAAATGTGTGTTCACAACCATCCATCCTACTCCCTAGATTTGTCTCCCTGTAATTATTTTCTATTCCTAAAATTAGAGTTACTATTGGAAGGACGCTTCTTTGACAATATTAATGACATCCAAAGGGCAGTAATATCAATTTCCAGAGACATAAAAACAGAAGAACTACAGAGGTCTTTTCAGTGTTTGTTATCAGGCCACTTGCTGTATCAATGCACAAGGGGCTTACTTTGAATAAAAAACAGGTTATATCTTCAACTGTTTATTATTTATTTTTTTTTTAAATGGAATTAGTCTCAATTTCGGACCTTGTATTGTACTGAGGAGCGGCTGCTTGAACGGTTAGAACGATGGGCTCTCAAGCAGGAGATTCGGTTTGAATCCTCGGTAAGGCTGGGGATATTTTCTGTCAAGAGAAAAATAAAATGCTCTCCTGCACAATCGTGGCGACAGCACTAGCCACGCAGCCGTAAATACTTATGCTCATAGACTCCCCTGCGTAAACCGCAAAAGTAGTATAATAAGGGCAGTAATTGGCACATTCCACTGTAAAAAAAAAAAATTTCTATTTTGTATGTGTGTGTGTGTTGTGTGTGTGTGTGTGTGTATGTGGTGCTCGGAATAGGTTGCAAACCAATGGTTTAACGGAATGCTTAAAATGAAAAGTAAGCCAGTGTGAATGTGGCAGTATACTTGCTGAAACTAAAGTTTCTGACCAAATACAAATAAATAAGAGAGAACATTTTAATATGGAGTTAAATTAAGAATTAAAAAAAAATTTAAAAAAATAAGGATTGAAGTCATTCACGCTTTGCTTCAGACTGAATGACTTGAAAGCAAGAAAATCTACTTCCTTGCATTAGACTTTTATCACACAAGGTTCCGTCTCTCGGCAACGAATCGGTTTGCCAGTTGGCAGCTAAAAAAAAAAGTCGTTGTGATCTTCGAAACACCTGCAATGGTCATAGAATAAAAAAGGAGCTAACAACTAAAAACGTTAAGATGCAACTTTTACATCAAAGATATTTTTCCATGTTGCAAATGTATACTTCTTTTTGTTTCTTTCGTCCACTTTAAATAATTTATCTATATGTGCAATGTTGTCTCTAGTATGAACTTTGCTGTCTTTTGTAATTCACTAAGCGGCACGTAAAATTTTGCTTTCACCAGTGTCTCTTTTGGCCAGAAGTTTTGACTGGAAGCGTTGAATCTGGGACAGTCTTGGAGGATGTCATCTGTTGTCTCAGGTGCGAGTCCACAGGTATACATGGCTAATTCGTCAGTCTTCAATATTGTGTTCAGCTCTGACATCAGAGCCAGTAATCATTTCTGGGTCATGTTATGAGAAGAAGAAAACTAGAACGCTATTTTAACATGTGGAAAGAGACTGAGGGAAGAAAACTCGAGACAATTATTCAACGTCTGGTCATGGCAAGGATGGGTGTCAACACAGGAACTCATGCATGCTGTTGAAGATTGCAGATTACGGAGCTGCATGATTGCCCACGCTGGTCGGCAAGGCACTTGTCTAGCTCTGGCTGGTTGTAAATTATAATCTTAGTTTATCATGTTAGTTGGTTATTTGGTTAGCTAATTAGTTATTCGCTTAGTTAGTTAGTTAGTTAGTTAGTTAGTTAGTTAGTTAGTTAGTTAGTTAGTTAGTTAGTTAGTTAGTTAGTTAGTTAGTTAGTTAGTTAGTTAGTTAGTTAGTTAGTTAGTTAGTTAGTTAGTTAGTTAGTTAGTTAGTTAGTTAGTTAGTTAGTTAGTTAGTTAGTTAGTTAGTTAGTAAGTTAGTAAGTTAGTTAGTTAGTTAGTTAGTTAGTTAGTTAGTAAGTTAGTTAGTTAGTTAGTTAGTAAGTTAGTTAGTTAGTAAGTTAGTTAGTTAGTTAGTAAGTTAGTTAGTTAGTAAGTTAGTTAGTTAGTTAGTTAGTTAGTTAGTTAGTTAGTTAGTTAGTTAGTTAGTTAGTTAGTTAGTTAGTTAGTTAGTTAGTTAGTTAGTTAGTTAGTTAGTTAG